ACTTCTCCAACTCTTTGGACAAGTTGTTGGCTTGGCTAACAGAACTGCGTACACTCCGTATCACAGAGGAAATGGACGAACAGTGCCCCAGCATTGTTCCTTTCTTTAAGGTCACGGAAACTTGGTTACATTCATGACCCTGACCGGCACAACTTTATCAACACACAACAGGGTCTTCCCCAGTGCAATTCCTCGTACAATTTTCTCATCGTGTATCTTGGGCTCGAACATTACCACCTTGCCGCTGCTCGCACTTCCAAGCGAGCCTCCAGGATAGTTTCAGCCCTTTCAGGTACGCACACGTCTTCAGCCAACAGGACCCTGATCGTCTCTTCGCTTCTTCCATGAAGCACCAGCTCTTCTCCGCCGACAAGTAGGACGCCGTCTTAAAAATTCAGCTCGAACCCTTTAGAATTCATTATGTCCATTCCAATGATTGCATCGTCCTCGATGTCCGCCACCAATGCATGATGTTTCAATTCAGTGCTGCCCAACACCAATTCAATTGGTAGTTCTCCACGTGCAGTGGCTGGCTCCCCTGTTGCGGTGCGTAGCTTCCAGCTTGATGGTTCAATTCTTGCCGGTGTTTTGGCAAAGGTTGGCCCAAGAATGGTTCTCGTCGCACCTGTATCTAGCAGCATGGTGTAAGGCTCGTTGTTAATGAGGCCGTCTACGAAAACACCTTTGTCTTGTCGTTGGAGAATGGCAACATATGCGTTTTTACGGGGGTTTGCTGGGACGATTGCCCCTCTTCATCGACCCCCTCTAGTTTTCCTAATTTGGTGTCGATTCTTTGAATGCTGGACATTTGCTAGGCACATGCCCAATTTTCCCACAGTTCCAGTATCTTATTTGTTTTCTCTCAGGCAACACTTCTTTTATTTATTACCTGGTACCTGCCTATCTTCCTCGATAGCTCGAACTTTGCTCTGGCTCTTGCAGGATTGTTTTGCAGCCTCAAACTCCAGAGCGTATTGTATTTTTTTATAGGTAAAATTAATAAATACAAGTTACTTATAATAGAACATTTTTCTTTGTGAAAATACTTTGAATTTACGCAGTAACTTATCGGAGTGAAGTAAAAAAGTATCATTTCTGAACGTGTGTAAATGTCTCCGTTACAATTTTCATATTTTTCAGATCGTGGAAGGTGAAAATATCCAAAGAAGGTCAATGAAAAACTGATTTTTCTTCACAAAAAAAGTCTTTCGTTCAACATCTCATTATTATAATAGCAAACCTTGAACAGAATCGGAAACGAACATCCTCAATTTCAACTGTTTATGCATACAGAAATTTGCCGGCATTCAAGCAAAACAATAACCACATAAATTACCACAATTAACTTCGTTGCCAGATCACGATTTCTGCCAACCATTCATCAAGTGAATTTTCAAAACTAAAACAACATTTTCTTCGGAAAATAACAGTGCAGGCCGAGGATAAAACACTCAACGACAGAAGAAATTAGTCAAACTAGTAGTTTGGTCGGATGAGGTCTGACAGCAACAAGAGTATATGCGAAATTGGCGGTTCTCCACCAGTCCGCTTGAAAAACACACACAGAGACGGGCTAACCACAAACAGCCACAGGGTAAAAAAGCAACAACAATAATAGTAATGAATTTATTGCCAACAGAAAAAGTGATGCTCAAGATTTGTGGATGATCTTCTCGACCTTCTGCGAAAAGCTTGTACCACTCAGAGTACAAACACCGTATGCCACTGTCAACATTTCAAGTGTTTTTGAGCACTCAGTTACATTTTTTACACAAAATTTGATGCAAAACTCTTTGATCCATTTTTTTTCGATAGCAGAAAATCGTCGGACACGCAAAACATTTCTGTTATTGCTCACACCAACATACTGAACACATGTTCGAGACGAATATAGCAACATAAAAAATCACTATGAATCAGTCAATCAATTTATTTTCTTATTATCCATACAACAGATTCAGCATCGTCAAGGTAGATAAATATAGTGCCTTCATTTCAGAACTTCCCACCCCTAGTACTTCGTTTAGCAGGGAGAATTTGCCGTAGGCAAAAAACTCGTCAATTTAAATATCGAGGGGGAAGTTTGAAACCAGTGCCAGTAGTATTTTAGGTTTAACCCCCTTACCCCTAGCTACCTCCATTTAATAATTTTGAATGGCACCCCTATCTTGTAACACATCATTTTAAAGATCTTAAAAATCCTCACTCAACCCTGTTTAGAAAACTGAAATTGGTTGATCCATTCTCGTAAAATAGGGCAAAAAGAAAATTAATTATAATAAAAAATAAGATAATAGCCATTGCAATCAAATAAATGTATCTAGAAAATCAAATATATGTCAATTCAATTGTCAATTTAATGTACCTTACTTTATTAGGTGTTCAAAATGTTTACCATTGGTGGCGAAGCAAAAGTACAATCTATTCTCGAATTCCTGTCGGACTTTTGTGAATTTTACGTTATCAATTTGTCTGTATGTGTCAGTAATCCTGTGTCTTAGATCCTGAATGTCCTGTGGGAGAGTTTTGTATACCATTGTCTTCAAATAACCCCAGAGAAAAAAATCCAATGGTGTTAAATCCGAAGATATCGCCGGCCATTCCAGAGCGCCTCTTCTGCCAATCCATTTGACAGGATACCGTTGATCGAGCCACTGTCGGACATGCAATGCGTAGTGTGGCGGTGCGCCGTCCTGTTAAAAATGTAAATTTTGTTAATCCAAGAGCGGATTGTCTTCTTCATCAACTTGGCGTTCTCCAAGAGCGGGATGTCTTCTTCATCAACTTGGCTTTCTAAGGACTGTGTTATGAGTGGATCGATTACAATTTCCAATAAGTTTGAATACAATTGACCAGTTAAATTTTCTTCAATAAAAATAGGGCCACTCATTTCGTTTCCCAGAATTCCAGCCCAGACGTTTATTTTTTGTGAATATTGCGTATGATCCTCTCGAAATAAGTGTGGATTTTCATTATCCCAGTATCTACAGTTATGCTTATATTTACAAAGCCATTAAGAAAAAAGGTTGATTTATCAGTGAAGCAAATATTTTTTATTAAATTCGGGTCATTTAGAATTCTCGCAGTCCTTATTTCACAAAATTCAATTCTCCTATCATAGTCATCCTGACCGAGTTGCTGAAGAATACTCATTTTGTAAGTTTTGAAATTTTGTTTATAGAACCAACTGAAATATTTACTAACTTAGCGACTTTCAAAATTGAAGTAGTAGGCTCAACAGCGAATTGGCCTAAAATCTCAATCTGTGCGGCTTCCGTAAGAACTCTCGGCTGCTTTACTGCTTTATTGCACACAGAACCGGTCTTTTCAAAATTTTGAACAAGGTCTAGAACATATCGGTGACTCACATTTTGGCCTGCATGCCTTTCATCAAAAACCCGGGCTGTCCTTCAGCACCATAAATAAAAATAATTTCAGTTCTTTCTTGTAAAGTGTACACCACTTGACAAACAGTTTAAAATCAGGAATAACTAATTCTGATAAATGTTTTCACCATTTAATTGTAACTGACGCCAAGAAGCAACTGTGTGCCCTTATCTCACTTTCAGCTAAAGCAAAAAATTGTGTAAAAAAGAGACATAAACATACCGATATTGAGTCAGTGGTAGCGGTTCCATAAATGTTTGCATTTTGTTTTCATTTTTTTTGTCCTATTTTTCGAGAACCAATTTCAGTTTTCTAAAAATCCTGAGGATTTTTAAGATCTTTAAAATAATGTGTTATAAGATAGGGGGTGCCATACAAAATTATTAAGTGGGGGTAGCTAGGGGTAAGGGGATTAAACCTAAAATACTACTGGCACTGGTTAAACTTCCCCCTCGATATCTAAATTGAGATATTTTTTTCCTACGGCAAATTCTTCCTGCTTAACGAAGTACTAGGGGTGGGAAGTTTTAAAATGAAGGCACTGTATAGTACAAAACATACACATTAAAAGGCAAAGCATTAAAACATGAAGTTAAAAAAATTCACTCACGTCATAAGGGCAGAGATCAACCAGCAGCCCTTTGATACTTTTTTTGAATTTAATTGTGGCAATTTCTGGTCGAATATGGTTGCGATTAACTTGAGGGGTGTTATTTTGTGTCTTGATATAGACATTGAAATATGTATAGAGCCGTAATGGTTAATATATTAAATTTTTTGAATAGAGGTCTACAGCTGTCAGTTCGTTTTGCCCTTCTCAGGATTCAAATTGCCGTTTTTTGTAAAATGAATATCCTTTTCCAGTCAGTTGAAAGTCCACAAAAAACCAATCCGTATGACAGCTTAGACTGAAATAACCCCATGTAAGCTGCTCTCGAAACATAAGATGGAACAAATTCATTTATTCTACGAAGCAGGTATAGAGTGCTGGACAGCTTAGTAGAGAGATTTTCGATGTATTCTTTCCAATTAAGTTTTTGATCCAGTGTTACCCCCAAAAACCGAATGGATGTTTGACTGTCCTTCGGTTCTTTTAGTGTGAACGTAATTGTTTCAGTTTTCTTGACATTCAAGCATAACTTATTGGCGACAAAAAAAATTAAAATTTTTTTTAAACGCGTTGTCAGTTAGTTGCTTTGGATATTCATGTTCAGGGTGACTCTCATAAATAGTAGTATCATCGGCATACTGAATCGTGATGAGAGGGTTCATATTTTGTGGTATTTTTCAACTGTCACAACCGGTCTTTTCAATTATATGGAGGGCCCTTTATACAAATATTTTGCGTAGATGTGTACTACGTTCAACAAATTCATCCAAGGTCACACCAAAGTTATAAAAAACGATTTTTCTCTTGAAAATTAAGCACCGGAAAGTTCAAGTTGGGACTTTCAGGTCATATATTCACATTTAGTTTTTCCTCAAAGTGGGCCTCGAGATGTTTTTGAGAAACATCCTGTATAGAAATTTGTTCAAGTACTTTTTTGATTGATTAACCTTAAGTCCGAAAAAAAAATAACTGAATTCTAATTGGATCATTTCATTTCAGAACTCATGCTCAAGATGTTTTGCTCAATGTGTAACGCAACCGGCAAAGGACGCTTCATTACAAAAATTCTCACGTTTGGAGTACTATGGGCCTTGATAATATATACTCTCTACAAATTCAGATCGATATCGATGATAGATGTCCCGGTTCCGCATCTCAATAGCCGATTCCTCCTTCAGAAAAGACTCGACCCACTGACAAGACATGCAGACAGCACGACGGAAAGTATGGATCTGGAGCCTTTCGTAGATAAGAGCCCGAGTTTATCTGAAGACAATCTGATTGAGGATATACAGAAGCGGATGCCGAACCTTCCAATAGTCTACTGGAACAAGAACAAAAATAAACCGATGGGTCTCAACAACAGCTGTGCAAGGTATGAATAACCAATTACTGATGCTACAAGTAGATTCCCAGTTTTAGAAATCTCTTAGTTCATTTTATGTAATAAAATTATTGGTTGTTTAAAAAGGTTTGTCCGTTTTTATGAGTCTCCTTCAAATTGTAATGGATGCTCAGGTTTAGCTGAAGTCGATTAAGGCCGTTTTTGCCTGGTCCTGATATTCGAAGGATCTACCAAAAAAATCAAGATATTCAATTGCCTATTTTGGTTACAAAACTAATGAAAAACGTTATTTACATCGTATAGTTTCGGAAACAAAGATCAACAGGTGACCTATCGTCACCCATATTTGAAATAACGCAATCGAAAAACATGCTCAGTAAAAATGTTTCTTTAAGAGAAGATCATAGATTGCTTTGAAATTTGTATCTCTATTGGAAAAACTATTACTTTTTGCCAACATGGCCATGTTCCACCAGAAAATCACACTTTCTTCAACAAAGAAATCAAATTTCTTGGCCTTTCAACGACATCATTCGTTTATTTATATCATTGCGAATATGAAATATTTTGAATCAAGAAAATATAATATCATCTCAAAATCCACCACCTATTTGAAGGGAAAAATAAACTGTTTCAAATGGAGAGCAATATCAACTTGATCTGAAAAGCTAATATTTGCTTAAATATCATATTCCAACCGCACACTTTTGAAAGATCATACAGTTATACTGTCTGAAAGGTGTCCCCCTTCAATTAGAAATCGACCTGTCCGAGCTTTTTTTAAAAATCTCACTTTTTATATTCAAAAACGGCTCTGTTAAGTTTTCGTTGTTACACACTGTAGATACCTGAGCAATTTATTTTGTATTCTCTCCACTGCATTGATTGTGGACCGATATTCACCTGACCATATTATACTTGCAAATTCCAATTTAGGTCTCACAAGTGAGTAGTATAATAATTTTATAGTATTGTTATTCGTAAACTCCCGAGTTTGTCTAATAATGAATCCTAACATTCGATTTGACGATTTAACAATATTTCGAATATGTTTGGCAAACGATAAAATACTGTTGTAAGTTACCCCAGGATCTGTGGAGGACTTCTTCATCCATCATATAATCAAAATTAACAGGATCCTTCAAATGAGTTATTCTGATGATGCTACATTTGTTAATATTAAATTTCAATTAATTTGTGATGCTCCACTCATAAATACTTTCGATGTCCCTTTGCAGATTAACACAATCCCTAACTGTTTGTATCTGTTTATATATTTTCAGATCATCGGCAAAAAGCAACCATTCAGAATAGAACCATTTATGAATAGAATAAATAATAGTGTTCCAACATATCAGGCGTGACCGACATAATCGCAAGCATTATTCGTTTCTTCAAGTCATTCAAATCTGAAGGTTTAGTTTTGTACACATTGCGCATTACATATCCCCATAAAAATAAATCTAATGATGAAAGATCAGGTGATCGCGCTGGTCATTCAATCGATCCTCGCCCCCCTATCCACCGATTGGGAAATGTATCGAGGTATTGCCGGACTTTAACTTGGTAATGTGGTGATGCTCCATTCTGCTGAAACCATATCGTATTCACTGGAACTTGAGGGTTTCCTGGATCATGATGTAAATTTGCTAAACTTGGAATGACATCATTTTGAAGTAGTGCCAAATAACTATAGCCATTCAAGGCGATACCATTTTTGAATAGAGAATGAAGAGACCTCTCAAACGATATATCACAAGCCTATACTTCCCGTTTAAAAAATTGGTTGTTGTACCCGTCATTCAGGGGTTGAAGGTAGGGGTAGCATTTTTCCGTTGAAGTATGTCAAATTATAATTTTAATTTGACGTGTTTCCGGATTTCAATAAAATATGTATCGTAACCGAAATAATGAATTTATTCCATTTGGCTTTCACACACTGTATACATATCGAGTGGTCCAACGAAAAGTATGCACCTTGCTTTTTTTTTGTAACTTAACGCAAAAATGCTCGGACAGGTCAATTTTGCTTTTGAGGGAGACACATTTTAGATGTATTTTTCTACCTGTGCCTTCAACCCCCTAGCGAGTTGGTGTGGCATATTAGGTAGTCATATCGTAGGGTCACTTTTTATTCCTGGGAATTTAACTGGTGGGGTCTACCTGAAGATGCTTGAAGATACAATTGATCCTCTCATAACAGAAATAATTGAAAATGACCAAAATCATAATGATGATCGGCTTCATTTCCAGCAAGATGGAGCACCTCCTCACTATGTTGCTCCGGTAAGAGAGTTTTTAGATGACCGGTTTCCTGGACGGTGGATTGGAAGGAGAGGCCCCATCGAATGGCCTGCCAGGTCACCTGATTTATCGCATTCAGACTTTTTCTTTTGGGGACACTTGAAAAATAAATGTTTTGCTACGCAGCCCGAGTCCATAGAAGATCTTCGCCAACTTATTACAGCAGAGTGCAGAAGTATAACACCTGTTATGCTACAGAATGTTAGGAATAGATTTGAACAAAATCTGTATTATTGTTCTGGGTTGTAGTTGTTTTTCTTCATAATACCTACATGTTTGAGTGAAATACAACAAATTAGGTATCATTGGAAAGATAATTTTGTGCCCTTTCAAATGATATATCACTCGACCCCACTTTCCATTTAAAATTTTAGGGTTGTTACTCACCCTCGCTAGGGGGTTGAAGGCACAGGTAGAAAAATACATCTAAAATGTGTCCCCCTCAAAAGCAAAATTGACCGGTCCGAGCATTTTTTCGTTAAGTTACAAAGAAAGGAGAAAAGCAAGGTGCATACTTTTCGTTGGACCACTCTGTATAAACATTCCTCTTGAATCACTCTATCTAATAAAAAAACCCGCATCAAAATCCATTGCGTAGTTTTAAAGATCTCAGCATACATGGGGACAGACAGCGCAGCGGGAAGCGACTTTGTGTCATACTATGTAGTGATATCTCTAATGTTTGGTAACTTGAATCGCTGTTTTATTTACAGATTTCCGTCTATGTTCGATTTAGAATTCAACAATCTCTACTGGCAAACTTTGAGGACGACGAATGGTACTTTTCAGTTGTACGGGGCGTATTTAGACAAAAGAGCTAATAATAGACTGGGGCCTACCGTTAGGATACTTGGCATGATAGACAGAATAGAACCAACTGTTACAACCTACTGTCAATTCTGGTTTGATGGAAAAAAAGACCCCGTTATCGGAAAGAGCTTCGAGTACAAGTATATTTGGTAAGTATTATGATGGAGGATAGACAAGTACTTGAGAAATAATTTCGTTGATGAGTCCTTTACGTAAGTGGTTGCTCTTGGACATGTAAGTGTATGTGCTGTCTTGTATAGCCGTTACTCTTGGATATATTACTGAGATTTTCCTCATTCGATATGCTTGCATATTCTGTTCTAATAAAAGTCAAAATTATATGATTTGTGCAGGTCTAGTTAACAGAATTAACACCGTTATGCTAACGGTGCTGTTCAGTGTGGTCAATTTAAAGTTATCAGTTGAAATATTTAGAAACTGAAAAAATATTCATTTATATACACATCACTGTGTTTGGGTTGAACCACGTCTGGAGTTTTCAGCCCTCCTTCAAAATGGATCCACAAACCATCATCAAATTGACAGAGCAATCCTTCGTAATAAAACTTCTCCATCCAGTACCTGAGATCCAAAAGACAACAACGTTCCCCACAAAGCTTTTCTTCCCTACATTAACGGTGTTACTGACAAAATTGTCCGAATTCTCAAAAAACAGGCCATAAAAACGATATTCACGGCCAACAATCAAATTGCCATATTCCTTCGTTCCCCAAGGACAAAATTGTCAATGAATCCCAGGGCATATATAAAATTCCATGCTTCGATTGCTGTAGAACATATGTAGGCCAGACCAACAGACGTGTGACAAGTAGAGTATAGGAACATCAGCTTGCTGTCCGAAAGTCAGACCCACCCTCAGCCCTAACCAGCCATCATCAAGGACAGGACACGATATAGACTTTCGAACATTAAGACCATCGAGATAGCGAAAACACTACAAGCTCGAATAATTCGCGAGGTCATCGAAATCGAGAAGCGACCTTCCTGCCTCAACAAACGTGATGACGTTCAGATACTTCCAAATATCTGAAAGTCGCTAATTTTCCGATGTCCAACCCCACCAAGATGTCCGGTGAATGTAATCACCCGAAGAACTGCCCCCACATTTCCACTTCAGGAAGATTCACACATTTTTTTTGTATAAATATGGAGAAGTAGAAAGCCAAAACCTTCCTTCCACATTTTTCATAGATGTCAAAATAGTCAAAGGTTTTTCTCGAACCTAACCCTTCATTGCATGATTTTTTATATTCGTCTTGTTCATCGCTCATAAGGCTTGTTTTTGCATGACAATGAATGGAAAAATATTTAAAAAAAATCATTTAATTTCAATACATTTCCTTTTATGTGTTGCAGAAATGCAACACCATGTGTACGCTATCAATATTTAGGTGGTATGAAACTGAAGAAAACAAGTTTTTTTGTTGTAACAAAGTCCAACGCCACACTTGGAACAAGTTGTTTGTGAAATTCCTGTACATCTTACTCTCTTCTCTGTGCAAATGGGCCAATATCCAATTGAATTTTGTCTCACGTCTTTGGGAGGTACATGTTGGGCGGGACCCTTCATTTTTTTTCTTTTGAATGTCTGTTTCAATGGATAAGGACGGTCTACCTCTTTTTTCTCTTTCCCGCTGTGCACCAATTCTACACATACATTCTGCTATTTCTGTTTTGAACTCAGACAAAGTTGACAATTTGTCAGTACTTGAAACGCTGAACCAAAGCCTGCTTATGAAGTAACCAAGAATTGACCACTGCCAAATCTAACAGATGATAGAACAGTCTGAAATACAACTTTTTACTGTGCACCACCCATGTGCCGGTTGCATTCCTTTACAATGTATGGGCAATCCACTTCAATTCTTTCCTTTCTCTTTCTATCAAAACGCTGAACTTTACTCAGAGGTTTTTCTCCAGCAAAATTCGATAGGAGTGTTAGTTTTATTGTCTTTCCAGGCAACATTTGAAATTTCTGTGCCCTTATATGAGGCAACATATTCATATGTAGCACCTCTGTCTGTTTTTTTCATAGCTTTCTCATCTGGCAACCTACAGTTTGATATCCTATTTCTCCGTACAGTACCCAGGCTCCGTATTCCTCTTCCAGCTAAGTATGATATCAACGGAATCGAGGTATAATAACTATCGAAGTAAATTCTGTGATTCAGGTTGTCTGGAATCATTTGTGCCAAACGAACCACGACATTGCTGCTAGCACCCAAATCAGGAACTTCTGTTGAGTAATTGCCATTTTCTTGTCCTGCATAAATTTCAACTACATGAGCAAATCCTGATACGGAGGATAGAACGAAGAGTTTGAACCCCCACTTATGAGGTTTGAGTGGTAAATATTGCTTCAGAAAATGTCTTGCTTTTGTAGAACAAATTTACTCATCGAGGGATAGGTACTGCTGCATTGGAATTTTTGAGAAGTTTCTGTTCAGTGCATCATAAAGAGGTCTTATTTCATGCAGTCTGTCAGAATGTGGCTTGTTTGCTTCATTATTGTTGAAATGAAGGAATTGTTTTATCTTTTCGAAACGATTCACCGACATTGTTTATTTTTATTGCATTAAATCCCAAGTTCTCAGCCCAATAGGATCGGGTGTTCGTATTATGAAATAATGACATGTAGAAGCAAATTCCAATATATTGTCTCACCTCTGTACTGGTTATATTGACATGTCTACTGGAATCCTTCTGTATTGCATATAGATTTGACTGTTCTACAATATTACTGACTATATCATAGGTGAATAAAAAGGTGAAGAATTGATGAGGAGTATTCAATTCCATGATACTAGATGGAAGACTCGAATTCCCAAGAAATTTCATCTGGGTTTCATTCAGTATGGGATTTTTTTTCTTCCAAATAATATTTTCTTTTTCCTTCTGCTGTCCTTTTCGATTTGTTTTATTTCCATTCGATGAGCTTTCTGATGTGGAAGGAACTGATACTGTCGTTTCCACAACATTAGTTTCTTGTTGGGTTTCATCAAGGGTTCCTTCTTCATTGACTATATCGTCCAAGTCCAATTCGTTTTCACCTTCTTGATCTTCAAAATTTGAAACAAAATTCTTCAAATCCTGATCGCTTGGCAGAAAATTCGGATCTGCGATGCTGTCATCAGAAAAATCATAGCCGTTTTTCACTCAGATTCTGTAGTATTTCTTCCAAATCCTTATCTGAGAGGTATTTCTTAGCAGTCATGCTGAAAACACATTTCATATGAACTTACCGCATGTTGTTGCAAATATGCAACAAACTATATTTATAACATAACGAAAAAAATCATGTAAAAAAACAGCCTGCGATTTATGGATGTCATAAAATGTGTCTTACCTGATGGTTTGGTAATTTATTCGTATTCTTGAACGCTAGGAGAGAAATCAAATATCACCATAAACAGGTAGTGAAATTCTAACCTCACACTCTCAACGGAAACACATTTCAAACTAAAACCAGGGCCGTCCAGGGGCTTTTTGAAGTACGAAATTCCGTACCAGACACTGTTGCAGATATGTTACAACGTTCACGAATACTTCTGCTTATTGGAATAGAAACTTACAACTGATTGAACGGTGTGTTCCATTTCTGCAACAAAATGCAATGAAGGGCTCATATTCGAAAACAGTTTTTAAATAAATTGTTTTTAAAATTGGCGAATTCGCCAGTGTTTCAATTAGGGCGAAGATGGATTTTATTAATATTTGGTTTCGCCTTCAACTGAATCCTTAAAAACGGAACATGAAAAAATCCTGTATGGATCTGCTTATATGTAATAATAATAATAATTCATTCAGCGATATAAGGGTACAGATTGTGAAGTAATACACCGGAAGCAGTACCGCCTGTGTGTGGATATACCTACATACATATACAGTGTCATCCCCAAAGAATGCACCATATGAGAAACTTATTTATTTTATTAAGCGTTTTTCGACAAAAAATTATTGTTGATAAAAGTTTGTGCATCCCCTAAAACCAAATGTGCACCAACGTAATGCAGCAAAACACACGTAATATACGAGGAGCCTTCAAATATTTGATTTTGAAACAAGAGTAAAGTACTCTTATTTTAGAATACTTTCGATGT